GGCATTCTGCCCTCTGAAGGATGGCCACTCTCTTGCCTCTCTGGCAATCGTGGTGTCTTATGCCTCCTTGTCTTTGCCCAGGACTGTCCTTTCCACTCCCCTTGCCTGCTGACCTGAGGTCCATCCCCTTTTCTCCTAAGCAGCTCAGGGCTGAGGCTGCTCAATCCCCAAGGCCCCTGGAGGTGGGGACAGTCCCAGGAGCTGCACAGTTCCCACCCACACAGCTGTCATACCCCATGACCTCTCTGGACCCTGTCTCTGCCACATTCACTAGCAGAGGCATGGAGTGGATCTAGTGACAGCTCAAAGAAACAAATGCCTAAAATGAACCACTAAGTCATTTATTTAATAATTCAATAAAAATACATATGCCCTGCCTCAAAGATCTTGTCTCCCTGTTGCTTCTTTTACACACATTTTAATAGGAAAAGTGAACACCTGTAAGGTGGTGAAGACAGGCAGAAATTCTTTGTTCACTCAGCTGGGTTATTGTACTTGCTAGTTTCATGAGTGTCTGCAGTTTCCCTCTCAGTGGGGATGTTTTCTAGTATGTGATCCAAAACACAAAATGGCTTAACATGTACATAATTTAAAATGCTAGCAAAGAAAAGAATAGTGGCTGAGAATTTTTCAAAACAAGCGACAAACCCCAATCCACAAATTCAAGAATATCAGACACAAAGAATTATACTGCAACAGGACATTATCAGAATCCTTAAAACCAAAGCCAGAGAAAGATGCGCATTATCTACAGCAAAGTGAGGATATGATACACAGCAGATTTCTAATCACAAATTACACAAGCAAGAAGTCAATAGAATGACATCTCTGATATGTTGAAATAAGCCAGGTGTGGTGGTATGTGCTCCAGCACTGAGGTAGGGTGAGGCAGGAGGTTCACAAGTTCAAGTCCCACCTGGGAGGCATTATCATTTATTGGGACCATGCCTTAAGATAAAAATAAAAAAGGCCAGGTGTTGGGAGCTGCTAAAGCTGGAAATTAATCACACATGCAGGACAAAGCAGTTCTGAGAACACAGGGACCTCCTCGAACCCTGTATAACAAGCCATTGTTGCTTGTTAACTGACTGTTGGATAGAGAGGTTGAAATTTACATCAACCCTTGAGGGTATAAATACATAAATGTTCTGCCATTCTTAGAAAGTTTTTCTCCTCCACCTGATTTAAAAAAAAAAAAAAGTGAGAGGGCTGACCAAATAGCTCAGCGGATTAAAGCACCTGCAAGCAGGTGCAGGGTCATCCAGGGTTCGATTCCTGGGCCTGCTGTGCCAGCCCCGCCCCCTGGTGTGCACTGAGATGGCAATTGAGACTGGGCATGGTGGCGTGCATCTGTAATCCCAGCTCTTGGGAGGCTTTTAACAGGCAGATCACTATGAGTCCTATCTAGTAGTGAGACCCTGAACTCTGTAGACCCCTCCCTACAATCCCCGCCCCCCAAAAGTGAGAGAAACAGGCTTCAGAGAAGCCAAAGAAATTATATTGAATTACTTGTAATTAAAAATGGGACAGTAGATTCTCAAGAGTCACAGATATATGCATATATAAAAGTGGAGTTTTTTGCATGCTTGATTCCTGTATTTACTTTTCTGAATTTTGGTTAGAAGGAGTCTTGCAACCACAAAGGTTTCTTCTCAGAACACTATTTTAAAATCATATCTCAAGCAGAAAAAAGAGGGTGGAGCAATGGCACCAAAAGAGCTTAAACCCTCTGGCCCTCCCAATTTAGTGAAGAAGGAGCGGTGGGGGACACAAGGGACCTTCCCCCATCAGAGAGGTGTTTCCTCAGGACTTTCATTTCTCTGCATGTCTACCCTGTTGCTAAAGTTCAAACTCCCAATGGCCCAAGACAAATTGCCTGCCTTTGGATTCGTGCAGACAGCAGCTCCCCGTATATGCAAGGTGCTGCCTTGCCAGCTGCTATCACTCGGGTTATTCACGCACAGTCTGGAGGCAAAGGAAAAAACAAGGCTGTCTGTTTTCATTTGGGCACAAGGGACATTTTGCCCAAAACTGCTCTGCTGCACTTGTAAGGGCAGTGCAGCCGTTATCTGTTTCTTCAGCAAAGCCTTCCAGGCCCAGGTCCGGTGAGTGTGCGGAGAGTTTCCTGCTACCCTGCGCCAGCGGGACCAGTCCCAGCCCAGGCGCAGCGTGGGCCGGACCCTCTCCCAGCCCCTCGGGCCGCCCCCCACCACT